TGCTGCCCAAAGACTCTGTTAAATTGGTTCATCAATCATCTGGCTGCCAGCCACAGTCTTGCCAGGGAAGGGAAGAAACTAATGGATAGAAGTACTGTAAAACTCCACAGATAATACAATTCTGATTAGGAAAAGTGCTTATTTCTGCGGCCACTTTTAAGCCCATTAGAATAGCTATTTGTATTCCTTTCTACTTAAATTTAAGCACTTAGCTTGAAAAGGCTGTAGTAAATTAAGCCCTTTGTTAGTAGGGCATTTGGATCTTCATTCTTGCACCAGTCCTGGTGGTCCTTGACCCTCAGAGTCAAACATGATGGACCAATTAATACCAGCTAAGTATTCAGCACAGTAATATTCATAGCTGGAGCTTTGCTTTTCAGGAGAAAAAAGTAACAAAAGCAAATATTGCGTCAGTGATACTGGAGCTGAGTCTGCCAAGAGGAGCTCACAGAAATCCATTTCCAGGCTGAGTACGAACGGCTGGACAAACAGTGCCTTTGTACCATTTGGCACCTCAGCGCCGGGGGCTTGGCAAAGGCCCTGGTGGTGCGCGTTACCCCATCCCACCTCTAATTGAGCAGAAATGCCTGGACAGGTGCAGGGCTTTGCCATTTCAGGCCAGGGTTCTGAGTAGACTGGGGCACCTGTGGCACCCAGGGGTGCACAGAGCATGTCCATCACAGGCACTGTGGGCATCCAGCATGGATCTGTTTAGTGAAAGTGAAGACGGCATCAGTCTAATGTATCCTGCCTTGCAGTAGCTTGCAGACTAGCACACCATAAATGTGACCTCATTTTTAACCAAAATTTGGTGGGATATTTTCCTTACTCAATATTTTTATCTGAAATACTTTTTTTTTTTTAATTAGCTAATATGGATTTTTTTTTCTTTTTCTGAGCAATATTGACCACAGTGGCATTGTCAAAACATTAATTGTCTTACCCAAAAACATGTGTCGGAAAGGAAGGCTGAGTTTGTTTTGATGCCTGAGGTCCCAGTGTTGTGGCTGGCAGCAGTTACCGAGAAGTGTCCGCCACAGATATTGTTCTCTGTACTTGCACCTATTTTGGCTCTGGAGACTTGAATCGCTGCATCTGTTTCACTCTCTGTGGTGTTTGATCATAGGCTTAGGTGGCCAGTCCTAAGTAGAGGACTGGACTTGTCTAAATAGACAGGTTTTATTTTTCAGCTAGCAGTACCCAAGATACAGACACTGTGAAGTCAAATGAACAGCCTGACCACTGTCTGCATTTAGATGTCTTGGTTTCTTTTTAGGTTTAGTTACCATTGTTTTCACCTTTTCTACTACAACAAGGAAAAGCTGGTGAGACTGTATCTGACTGGGCTCTCTGATCTACACGGGAGATTTCTTGGCCTCATTTCCCACATGGAGTTTGCTAGAGCACAGGCATCCCTGGCGTGGAAGCCCCCAAACAGAGTGTCACTTCTCTGTGCCAGGCATCAAAGGGTCTGGGTCATAAGCTCTTGGATGGGTACAAAACCAATCGAGTTCCTCAAAATGCACAGAGATACCAAAGATCTGATCCACGTTTAAAAAAAAGGTCAAGAAAAACTGCCTATCAGTTGCCAGATGCTAACCTCTTAAATTGGCCTCAATTGCATTTGCCAGATCTGTTTAGCTTAAACCTGCAGAAATGCTGTAATTTGCATATAGTGACATCGGGGAGTAATGGGATTGTTTTGCCTATTAGGAAATAGCAACAAAGAATTTTATTAGTGACAAGCAAATCCTTTCAGTCTAGTCTTACGCCAATGGAGGATGGTTTCTGTGTCGGTGATTTCTCCATCTCAGTGGAAAACTTTCTGAATGGATTAAAGGAGGAATATAAAGTTGTCCTTCCCATGTGCCCTTACCTGTGCACTCTACTTTCAGAATTTGATGTAGGAGTAATTTGATTTTGCTAAGTCACAAAGTATGCATCAGGTTAAAAGAACAAACCCCACTCAGATTAGGTAATTTGTTGGAAACTGGAACTTGTGTAAAAGTGCATGCCTATTCCCCAAGCAAAATCAAGCTATATTGTAATGACAGGAGCTGCAACATTCAGCAACTCTATGGCAGCACGTGACTAATACAAGACATCTGGGTTTGGCTGGGCTGAAAATTTTAACAGGAAGTTGGATTTTCACCATAGGTGCAATCCTTTCACAAAGGTCAGGGCTGTCCTCAAAGAGCTCATCAAGAAAAAAAGCTGTTCTTTGTGAGAAGGTTTGTTGCTAGGTTGAAGATCCTATCAGAAAAAAAGGCTATTAGTTCTCGACCAGTCAGCTTTCTGAATCCCTTTGGGTCAGTTAACACATCATTTTGGGTAGATCCAACTTCTTTTATTGAGTCCAATCAAGGTATACTGTCAGGTTTTCAGATTATTTGACATTTTGGTTAATGGTTTCTTTTCCCTTTGAGTTTCCATCTATTATTAAGTGAAAAAATACTGTTTTGAAACTGTACAAAGTTTCATTTAAAAGAGGTCAGCCCAAAATGTTGCAGAATTTTCCATAACTTAACGTGACATTTCAGAAATGTCAAATTGAAATGTTCCAGCATTTTCAAACTTTCCCTCCATTTTGGGGATTTAAACTGTTTAGCTCAGTTTATCCAAAGGCTCAGATAGCTTCAGCACTGTGCATTTACCTTTGCCTGACAAATCTGACCTAACTTCTATGAATAGGAGCCTCTCTGTTCAAGCCTTTCATTAATGCTGTGATGGGTAGTAGATGCTTGAAGAAAAATCTTTGGGGAGAGCTGAATGACAAACTCTTTCTAAAGCTTTCTCTGCTTTCCTTGCCAAGACTTTTAACCAACCCTAAGAAATATTTCCATGATCCCCAAAACCCCTGGCATCTTTCTGGAAGGGGCTCTTCTTTTGAGTCACTGGAGGTCCCAGACAAGAAGCTCATGAATTCCCTGGTCACCCCGCTGAGAGGCCTGGCCAGACACCCTTTGTAAAGTGAGTAGGATGCCTTCCCCATCTTAACTAAGGGACACCACACTAGGAGTAAAACAGGGAGTTGTTTATATGTTGCTGTTTTGAAACGATCATTTTCCTCCTGCCTGCAGCCTAGTCTCTCTCTCTTTTCATATGTATTGTTTGTCATTGTTTCTGCCTGAAACATTTATAAGGCATTATGCTTAAAAAATTAGGTTGATGAATGAGAAGAGACGGGTGTCCTAATAAAGTCATTGACAGAAAGGCCAGAAGCCTTTTTTTCAGCATGGAAGCTTGTCGTTTGGCTGCTGTAAATTGCTCTGAGTAGCAAGATAGTAAAAAAAAGACAAAAATAGAGCAATAGATGACACTGAAGCAGAAAGTGTCTCAGCAAATCGAGCATTTGTGGAGAAATACAATTAAAACATTAGGAATTCCTCACTCATTGTAACAAGGGAACAAAGGCTGTCTCAGAACTTATGGAGTTCATATGCTTTTGCAAGACCTTTCTTATAGATGATAGATCTGTTACTGGCTGCTGGGTGACCCTGTTGATACCACACCACAGTCTGTAAAAATTACATCCTCTTTTCATCACGCTGCAAGACTGAGACCCACTAAAATGGGATCAGGTGGTCTTGTCAATGGGTAGATCAGTCCTGTCCAATTTTAGCTTTTCCTTTGCCTGTTTTGAGCAGGGATTTTGTTTTGTCTTGGCTCCTGGGCTCAAAGGTGCCTGGAAAGCGTGTTAGAAGAACTGATATTTGAATACTTTTGAAACTCCAGATGTAGCTTTCTGCAGTGACCGTCCCATTGATGTCAGTGTAACTGTGGGACCACCACAGGAGGCAATCCCCCCCTCAGTTGTGATTCTGCTTTCTGAGTTCATTATTGACAGCCGTACTAACATTCTGTAACTCTGTGAGGTTCATTGTGCTCAAGCCTAAATGCCTTGCATATAACTTGGGGGACACCAGCTGATCAGGTTGAATTCCAAGGCACCTGCTTGGGTACTCAAAGCTACATAGAAGATGCAATGCTACATAGAAGATGCGATACAATTACCAGTTCTGCTTTGGATTAGTCTTCTGAGCTGCTGGGAACCACAGCATTTCATGTCTCTACAAGAAAGCCACTTTAACACCATCCAATTGAATGCACCACCCCCAAGAGAGAAGACCATGGCTCCAACACCAATGGCCCCACTAAGCATGTGTGTCATCTCTCTGATAACGAACTGCCTTGCTCATATGCATAAGTGTTCTTGTCAATCAAGGCTGAAAGGGTGTGT